GCTTATCTTCTCTTTAGTCCAGTCTTATGCAATTTGACACATGCTCATTATATTCGTGACAGGTAGGTGGCTGGTACAGCCACTTCTACTAGCGCGCCACGTTCAGTTTATGTTTACTACTATGGCGATGAACTACAAAAAGATCTGCATTCTAAAAGTTCAGCGTTTCTCCTGATAGAAGCATTTGGCAAGAGCTCTGTCGGTTCACATTAAATTTAAAATTTAAATGCTGTACTTTTTTTTTTTCGAAAATTTTTGTCTTTCCTTTTCAGAATGACTCTCCAATGCACGATGGCGAAATGACAATCTTTGTAAACAGCTATCTGGGGCATCTCCAGAAGACAGTGATTGGACGAGTGTATGTTGAGGATAAAGATGACTGGGATTTACCGGATAAAGTGTTCACTTGGGCACCAGGCAAATCGCTGCCAGGCTTCAGTCTTGCAACAAATGGCGAAGTAATTTCCGTTTTTTGCCTTTTTTCCAACTCTGTTTAAAATCAGGACTGGCTACACCCCGTGTTCTTCTCCAGTTTGGTAACATCGAGAGGTTATCCAAGTGATTTTACCTATCATGGTGCTTTGGAGCACCGCCTCACCGTTTCTCATCATCGGTCCACTTTTCAGCGCATCTACTTAACTCCCCCATACAGCTATCCTGGGGGGACATTTCATCTACAATTTCGGTCATTTAAGCGCTGAAATGTCGAATCGACAAGGATTTTTTTTGCTTATTTGGTAGTTAAAAGTTTCTTCGTATTGAGGTTTTGTTCAAAAAGTTCAGCATTATTTTCAGCAAATATTTAAATTTTAGATAACGATGGATGCTGATATGCCACCTCGGACTTATCAGATGGTTGCCAGCGTTATTGACAAGCGACGAAATGAGAAAGCACAGGGCGTCGTGAATGTTATCGTAAAGTTGGTACCTGCTGGAGCGTTTGAAAATCAGGTTTTTTTCCGTTTCTCGGTTTCTTTTCTTTAAACTTGAAGAAATTGGAAGAAAATGAAAATTTCTAAAATTTTTAAGAACTTGCTTTTAAAAAAACTATTAAGAAAGTCGAAAAATTTGTGGTTTAGTCTTCAATTTTTTGAATTGAATAAGAAAAATTGTTTCCCAGTTTTCGATTTTTCATACTTTTTTTTAAAGCTAAATGAATTTTTTGCAGGGTGCCGTACGTATTCTGCTGTCTGCAAATGGTGTGGATTCAGCGGGTAACTTCATTCGGGCCGATTCGACCGGCTCCAGTCCAATGAGCCGATTTATTGGCAAAATGAACGATTATCTGGGTGGCGGTGCTGAACTCGATGTTTTCTCAATCAAGGTGGAAAATTTTACTTGTACACACCCAGTAAGGATTTAGTTTTTGAACATTAATTTTTGACAAATCGAAAAACAAGCCTTTTATTTGCTGCCAGTGCATTTTTCCATATCTCAAACCCCAGGTCCATCGGTATAGATATCTTGCTATTGCAAAGATTTAGCCAAACAACAGGCGCAGCTATCCCGCGTCTGCATTTTCTGGTCTCTGTTTCTTCCAGACATTTTCTAATGAATTCAAGAAATCCTGATACTGTGGGTTAATTTAGTTTTATGCGCGTAAACGATTAAAATTATATCTATTTTTTCTCCTTTAACTTTTCCTCGAACATCTTTAAAAATGATTGTGAGTTATGAAATTTAATATCTGTGAGATTCGGATGACAGACTTTGTATTTTTGTCCAGCTGTTGTTTCATCTTTGTGTTTCTCGCCACTAATGTAGCTGGCAACTCCTCCATTCTTCTCTATTTTAGGCTTCTCTCATCCGTATAATTTTGAATTGCAGTTCAAGCGGATCCTTCCACCACACTGGCAGCCTTCCCTATGTTCTTTTAACATTGTGACTGAAAAAAAAAGCAGTTAGGAGAACGAAGGTCGAAGAAACGCATAATTGAAATTGATGACTTTTGGGTGAATAATGGGATGGAAGGCAAAAAAATTACAAATTGTATATTTAATAAATATATGGAGAAGCAGTCCTTTTTTCATCCCTTGACTGTAAAAACACATAGAGCTCTGCTTTCGGATAGAAGTGGGAATTATCAGTACAGCCTTTTACCTGGTAGATGGATGTTCACATGACTAATTTTCAAGACAAAAATAAGGCTAGAGTGAAAGAAAAGAATGATTCAGAAGAAAAAAATGAAAAGAGAGAACAGAAAAGGGAGCAATTCTGAATTTTTTAGAGAAATGAATCCCAATTTTAATTTTGAGGCTTGGCGGGGTTTTAGCTTGCTTCTGGCGTATTCACATTTTCGTTTTCTGCGACAAATAGAAAACCATCGTTGTGTATGTTAGCTCGTAAAAATTCGTGTTTGATTTCCGTTTAATACTGAAGCGGCTGCTAGTTCTGAATTTCTTTAACGCATGAAAATTTGTATTTTCTTCCAGGAAGATCAAGCAATTCTGCAAAATTATGCACCAGCCGTACTGGATATTCGTTTTTCGGCGCATGGTAGTCCATACAAAAGTCCAATCCTGTTGAATGGCCTGATTGCGCAACATCGCAGTGAATTGGAGCAGGCAATCGGCGCAACCATCGTTTCAGCCGGCATCGATATGTGCAAATTTACAGTATGCGATAAAGGATGTCAGACGGTACATAATGCTAATGAGGTCGGTTCCACTTTTTTTTCCTGGAATTTTCTGCTAGAATAAATAGACCCTTGTATCCTGCTCTGGCATCTATTGAAGCAACGAGCCCAATGGAAAATTTTAGTAGTAGCAGGAGAAAAAGGAACGAACAGGGGGAAAGGGTAAGGGGAAGGTGGAAGGGAACTAAAGGCAAAGTCATTTTGTTAAAAGAGCGCTGTTTTGATCGAAAAACAAAAAACCCTGGACACTTTCACAAAATCCTTCGAAATACAGGACCTCATTTACTAATGCCCACAAAAATCACAGTGCTTCAGCTGAATTAAGTGTTGCAAGGTATCATTTCTTCTACAACCTCCTGAAAAAGCTGTTAGCGCTGAGCTTCAATATTACCGAGGTGCATACATAATTTATGTTCCATAAGATGAGTTCTAAATAAAAAGTAAAAATAATTTTCCGTAAGTCATAAGATGAGCCTAAGATGAAAAATGTTTCGGTCCACAAAGTCGTATACATTCCTTTTCAGTGCCACAGTTAAATCTCAGTGCGAAAATTTGTGGATTATTACTTGTCTTGAGCGTGTACCTCGTCGCTTTTTCACGTATGACCATTTTTACCTGGAATGTGACGAAAGAGTTGCCGAGTTATTCGCGATCATAAGACATATACTTCACTGTGTATTTCAGAAATATCAGCAGTTTTATCGAGTCCTGACTCTTTTTCGGGAAAGGCATTATGGTAATATGGTTCTCTTTTTCAGGAAGGTATTGTGGTATCAGCTAATCAAACAGTGGTTGTTGGTGTGAATGCTTGGTCCAACGATACCTGCGTGTGTCCTGTGTTCACGCCACCTTCGTCATGCGAGGCGAATCTGTGTCTTAATTCGGGTGTATGCCATAATACATATCCGGGTTTCTTCTGCGAATGTCGTAACAACGCTCTGAAAGGATTCCGCTGCCAGGGTACCACTCGCTCGTTTGATGGACAAGGATTCGCGTGGTTCAAACCGGTTCCAGCCTGTACTTCACTGAATATTTCGTTGCAGTTTTTAACAAAGTAAGTAAGCTTCTAAACCAGCAAACTAATATTTATTTTGAAGTTTTTTCCGAAACTGATTATTTTTTATTCGAAATTTCAAAATTTTTTTCAGGCAGTCGGATGGTCTTCTGCTATACAACGGACCAATGGGCAACAATAACACATTTGGACAGGCTGACTACAAAGATTACGTAGTTATTCGTCTGGTTGGTGGTCGTGTACATGCAAATCTGATGTTCAATGGAATTGTTGCAAATCCAGTTCAGGTTGCCGGATCCGATGCGCTTAATGATGGAAAATGGCATACAGTAACACTGACTCAAGATGGCAAAGTTGGT